GGCATCAATTCTTCTACGATCTTCCTTATTCACTGTCCAGCTTTCGCATCCATATGAGGTTATTGAAAATACCGTGGCTTGGGTCAGGTGCACCTTAGTCCTCAAGCTGACATTAGTGTTCTGGATCACCCAAATTTTAGCAATTCAGGTTTCTTCAGTTCTGCTTCATCAGCCATGACTGAACTAATGGAAGTCCTGAATTACATATGCATCTTCCCTCTTAGTGGGTGTACTCCTTGAGCGTACATAGCGTGCCTTTCTATCTTGTAGCCTTTGGTCTATGCACTGAGTATTACTGAATCCTGTTTTTACAGTGACAAGAAAGTAAAAAGTTGAGAAACCATAAAAACACTGAACATAACAAAAATAAAGGCTCAGAACTTCTGGCACTTACAAAATGAAATCACTAGGCAATGCCTATACCGGTCTAAAACAAACTAATCAGCAAGGGAAGTAGCCCTGACTAAAAGACAGATTCACTACGTACCTTCTGATGCAGAGAAAGAACCATATGTGGAAAACTTGCAAACTGGAAAAGCACAAAGAAAATGAGCTGACTTGAGAGATGCTGCCACAGAAGTTGGCTTGTTCCCCCATCATCAAACTTCTCCTCAGTCTCAGATCGCTCCATGGCATAAACCACCAGATCCACCAGCTGGTCCTCCAGCACAGGGCAGCGCTGCTTGTGCTGTAGGGCAGAGATTAAATACAGTATTCCAAAAGCCTCCGGGTTAGTTTTAGAAGTTACCAGTTAATGAGCATTAATTGTTAACAAGAGGCTGGGAAGCATGGAATGAAGTTGAACTTAAGAAGTTAAAATTAGGCTTAGTCTGTTAAAGCTGCATCATGTCATTCCTAGAGGATGAGTTTTTTCAGCTCTCCCACAAAACATACTTCTCATTAACTTTTGACTTCACTCTACAAATTATTGTTTCAATTTGGCAAAGAACACTACACGACAGAACATTTTGCTCTGTATTCTTTTAAAAATTATGGTACCGTTTTAAAAGTAACATGGAACTTGAAACTTTAAAAAAAAAAAAAAAAAGTAACATGGAACAGATACAGTGGTATTCATTCTAGAATTCAGAATATGAAAGCCTTGCCATTTCCAGGGATTAATCAAGTATTGTGATAGGAGAGCAAATAAAGAAGTATGTGAATATCTGTATTTTAGTAAACGCAATTTTACATTAATTTTATGTTGTTAAGTGCTGTTGAGTTGATTCTGGCCCATATGACCCTGTATAGAGTTTCCACGGAGCTGCTGGTGAGCTTGAACCACCGACCTTGGTGGTCTTAAACACCTACCAGTTTATTCAAATTCTATTTTTCACACCATAACTGCCCAAGATTGAAATGGAAATTTCCTCTGCCAAAAAAATTTATCTCAAAGTTAATTTTTACTCTTCCCTCTTGGAAGCCAAACATAATGCAGCTTTAATTTAAAATTAGACCATTTTCAAATCTAAAATATGAAAACGAATTGAATTTAAACATTAAAAATGAAAATGCAACTTCCCTTTCTAGAGGCAAAAAGATCTGTGTTTTTCAAAGTGATTTACAAAAGTATATTTTTGCCAAAAGAAATAAGTGAAGCCATATTTTAGGCCATTTTCATATTTCCTTTATAAATATGCTTGCTATATGACTTAGTAGCCAGGCAACTGGAAATCTTTCTAGTGAATACAAATACAATTACTAATATAGATGCTTTCCCCCTAAACTTTAGATGTGATTATTTAGTCTTTTGCCATGAAAAAGGGATATGATTTCTCCAAATTTAGGGAAAAAATGCAAAATGGGGACGGATTTAGAAAAAAATAAAACATAATGAACAGCATCCCCTCTTTTGCATGCTCTTCGCCAGCTTCAAACTTGTAAAGCTCCAATATAGCTGTACTTCTAAAAGCATGCAAAGAAAACAAACATCTAACCCAAACAGGAAGCATCAATGGTTGTTTCTTTATTTTTCCAAAAACACAATGCCATGATCACAGTTCAACCACATTACAGGTTTACAGATAGCAATATTAACACCACCAGTTGAGACTGCAGTACTTTTCCTCCAAATGTAATTATCATTAGGAAGCAGAGCAAAGTGCAACAGACAACACTACAGACTAATTCTTAAATCAGCATGCAAAACTACTGTGTACAGGGCTTGAAATTCACTAGTTCTGCCAACCACCAACAACCTAAGAAATGTGCCAGACAACACAAATTTAGAGTGAAATCATTCAAAGTATACAAGAATCAGAAAAAATTGTGAAAAGAAGTAAAGCCAGGATTTCCAGTAGGAATTTTCCACTAGTGATGGGTATTTGTTTCTAGTTTTGGAAACTAACCAATTTGCCACCTAGTCCTCAGTCCATGATGGTTTTCTATCAATTTGCTTCAGGAAAAAAGAATAAACTAAATAAAATTGGTTTTCAGCACCTGAGTCACTTTGGAGTTTCCTTTTTTTGGTATTAATTATTTTAAATGGATTTTTAACTACACTTTTCAAGGGGTATAGTGATGATCACACAGCTAATTATTTGAAGAGGAAAGCCAAAATACTGAGGGTTTTACAAAGCAAGCACTAGGAAATTTACAGTTAAGTCTGTGTATACATATATATATATATATATATATATATATATATATATATATATATGCAATAGTGCAACCATTACCCCTAAATTTTCTGCCAAGTATTAAATCAGCCAAGAATCTCTACAGTGCCTCCTGCCCTTCAAGGCTGAGGCAGTCAAACATCGCTCAGGATTTAACTCTAAATTTCCCAGGTGTTTTAGTTAAAGCCCAGGATGGTTCTCCAACCAACTTTACAGATAGCTCAATATGCTGCTTTGTTTGCCAATCATCAAAATACCAAGATGCTAGAATAATTTTTCTTCAGTTTTCAATTACTAAATGACAGAAACATTGACACTGAGACTCTCCTCCACATAACAGATTATTTTACAAAGTTGACCAAGTGAGAATGTAAAGCAGTATAATTATTTATGAATAAAGGTTACTATGCAATCAGTAGGTTAAGGTAGCTCCATAAGCCAATGGATGCTGGATCTGTGGCTATTCACATTTAGTTTTCGGAGAGACTGAATATATTTAGGGCTACAAAACAGAGGCATATATAGTGTCAAATGTTAGTTGCCATCACATATAGATGCATCTTTCTTTAACTGTTTGTAGTTGTTAAATGCCGGCCAGTGAGTTGTGACTCACAGCTACCCTGTAGAGGGTTTCCAAGAAAGGGCTGGTGGATTTGAAACGAACACCTTAAGGTCCAGTGCTTGTCCTACAGCACCCCAGCTAGGTATATATAGCTGAATGCTGTAGCTTACATCATGTGTAGATGCAGCTTTAGTTAAACTTACTTAATAATGAAAATACCTAAATTTGATATTTTGTTAATTCCCTTCTATATAAAGGCACAAATTGCACTGAAACCTTATTTAAAATTTTCAGTTTTGATAAAAGCTAAAAGTCAGGTACAAGTCAATTATAGAAACATTAGCACTAACCCTGCACACATCTTGATTTCAATCCTACCACTCTTAGAAACTCGTGCTACTCTTGTTAGTACCATCAAGTTCTGACCCATAGCGACCCTGTATAGGGTTTCCGAGGAACAGCTGGTGAGTTTGAGCTACTGATCTTGCGGTTCAAACCGTATCTGAACTCAAATGGCATCTTACATTTTTGCAATGACAATATAGCATACTGCACTTAAACACCCAAATTCCAAACCTCCTGCTATCAAGCCAATTCCAACTCATAGTTGCTCTTCAGGGCAGAGTAGACTACTCCAGGGTTTCCTAGGATCTAATCTGATGGAAGTTGATAGATTGCCACATTCTCCTTCCCTGGTATGGCTGGTGGGTTTCAACAACTGAGCTGGTTAGCAGCTGAACACTTTAACACTGTGTTACCAGGGTTCTTAATATTGTACTTGTTATTGTTAAGTGCATGGAGTCGGTTCTGACTCATAACCACCTTGTGTAGGGTTTCCAGGGAGTGGCTGGTGAGTATGAACCACCAGCCTTGCAGTTCAAATTCACGTTGCAGTCCAGCACATTATCCTGCAGCGGCACACCAGGACTCCTGTGTTGTACTTGTTGTTGTTGTTATGTGCCGTGGAGTCGATTCCGACTCATAGCGAACAGGGTTTCTGAGGCTATAAATCTTTACAGAAGCAGAAAGCCTCACCTTTCTTTCATGGAACAGCTTGTAGTTTTGAACTGCTGACCATGAAATTAGCAGCCCGATTCGTAACCACTACGCTGTACTTAGGTGGGTTTTAAGTAATTCAAAGTTTTTGTCTTAGTGCTAGAAATCAAGTTTAAAGCAATACCCTATTCAGGACATACTAGGAAGAAAAATTCCTTCCTATGTCATTTATTCTATTTTCCTCTTTAACCAAGAAGACTACTAATATGATCTTAAGTGCTACGCCAGGTAAAACCTCTTTTAAAGATACCTTTCAAGGATAAACTGAGTGATTAGCCTAGTGCTGTACTGCCTCAGGGTAACAAGAGTTCGTATAGCATCATAAAAGCTTAAGAAGTGTGTGTGTTTTGTAACAATTATTCAGGAGCAAGAACACAAAATCTTGTGTAACCAAATAAAAGAAGACTTTTCCACTGTGTTTGAGTCCAACACTTCACTTTGCTCGTTACAGGAGTGGGCTATTTATGACTTTCTGAAGGCAACCAATTTTAGGGCAAAACATAGCCCAATTCCTACTGGAAAATGCAATATACACAGCTTTTAAAAGGTTTCAAGCTTTAAGTAAATTATTGCATTGCTAGAGAAAGGACAAGAAAGTATAGGTGCAGGATATAGTTCTGTAATGGTGAAATAGGTAAAAGATGACTTTGTTATTTTGAATCATATGCTTCTTGTACTGTGTGTTCTCATTTTCTACTCTACTTGCCAGGAAAAAAAAAAAAACAAAAAACGAAAACAAAACAACATACCAAGTCAGTTCAGCATTTTATCTTTCATTTACAAGTCCTCGCACTATAGACTTTCTATCCAAACAATTACTGATGGATTGTGAATTTTTGACAATGTTTACACTACAGTGGGACCAATACTAATAATGTTCTGTCAGCATTTCCATTATAAACTTTATTTTTTACGGAATTATGTCTTAGTCATAAACTTTTTTTAGGTTGAAACTTGTTGTTGAAATGATCAAATCATGTTCCCGTAATTGTTTTAGTCAGTTTCTAGGTTTAGTAAAGCTGTCCCCCCAAAGAAAAAAGCTAAGGATACCTGGGGGAAGGTACATGCAGTTCAAACAACCATAAGTACATGTATCCACCAAATTGTGAGAACACTGAGTGAAGTATGACTTACGGTTTAAAGCTCATTGTAAAAGTGACTTCTAAAATAGCATGAAGGATTCTTTTCGAGCTGAATACTTACCTGTAACTCAAGTGACTGTTGATCATAATGATATGACTTGGTGTTAAACTGGCAGACTACATGAGAGAACTGTCAAATTCTGTAGCATGAAGCAGTTTAAATTTCACATGTACAAAGTCTTGTTCAAACAAGGAAACTTGGTAAATTTTTCAGAAGAAAAAACTTAAAATCATACGAGATACTGAAACTAGGGTGAGGTTTGGCATGCAAAGTTTCAACACTGAGCAAGTTTTATGGCCAAGCTATATGTCCTTAAAAATAGGGCTTTATAAATGGAAGCACTGGCACAACCTTCACTATAGTATTGCAAACAGGAACGCTATTTTATATAACCTAGACAAGAACGTCTTTTTAAAAAAGAAAAGTTGGTGTATTTTAATATGTTGGGCTCAAAAATTTTTAACAAAAATAATTGGAACCACTATTTTGCTCAAAGGTGAAAAGTCCTGGAAATAGACTTGGGACGGTATAAGAGTTTGGTTTACAAAGTGCGGCCATAGCGCTTTTCTCCCACCATGGGTGAGCTTCCACGGAGAAGAGTTCACTCGAGGAGGAGGACACTTCTGGCAAAGGCTGACAAAGATGGGTGTTTGTCAAACAGGTGTGGGGCCACCTAAGAGTGTGACGTTTCTTAGTCAATCCCCAAGTTTAAAAAAGCCTTCCCTCTATAGAGTTTACCACTCCAACTTTTAAAAGCAGCATATTTCTATTAAATGGTTCCCTCCCTGCTTTTTGTTTTTTTTTTTCTGTTTTTAATTCGTTTTGTTTTAAGGCAAAGCAATGTTAAGTATTTTTGTTGTTATTATTGATTTATTTGTTTTAATTGTCTGGAAAGATACAGGCCACCACAAATCTTTCCATCTCTGAAAATTCCACCAAGTTAGCTTTAGCCCTAAAATATGAAAAACAGTAAAATGGAGTGGGAAGGAGAAACAACCCATCAAAAAGTGACAGGCTTTATTGACTGCCAGGTATTGTCTCTTTGTTTAAAAATAAAAAATATAAAAAAAAAAACAAACACCAAAAAACAAAAACAATCCAGCAAAAATAACTCTCATATCCCAAGAAGAAATTTGTTTTAGTGGCCTTGGTCTCAGCATGGTCCTGCCAATTTCAAGCCCCGACCATACACGTATTCTCTAAATGGAATCAGTGGCTACAAAGCGGCCAGCGTATCGTTAGTCACAATACAACAGTAAGGTTGTGAACATACCTGAGCAATGTTCAAGGTCTAGAGCATTGGAGGATGGGCAGGACAAGACAGGACAGAACAAAAATAAAGGAAGAAAAAAAGAAAAGACAAAACAGTGACTATGAGGCCAGCCTCAAGGAACCCAGAGTCAGCACAAACCCTCCCACATGGTAAACCACTAAAAACAAACCAACACCAAACAAAAATCAGCAATGAGGCCACGCTGAAGATACCGGGGCTTACAAAAATAGACACCCAAACAAACAAACAAACAAAAAGTCAAAAAATTAGGGTTAAGTCATGTGCAGGTTTCTCTGGCAAAAGGTATACTTGAAACTGGCCTTATAGAAAAAAAAGCAATGCAAAATAAACCAACTTTAAAAATATTTCCTTTTTAATTTAAACAATTTAAAGCAATATATAAATGATAGGATACAGTGTCTATAAACTACGCATTAAAAAAAAATATCACCAAATAGTTCTTAACTGTTTTGCTCAGTTAGCTATAGCAAAGAAAGGAGAAAAGAGTAGTGCAGATTCTATGCAGAATTTACTAGGTTTCCAGCACAGTACAGTACCTGCTTATTTAAACCTAGCATATTGCAGACCATATCCCTGGAATAAGGCTGCTCCAATACATATCTCAACAAAGCAGTCTGTGGTTCAAACAGATCCTTTAAAGAAAATAAAAAAAATTATTGCTTCAAGATCAAAGTAAATGTCAATTCAAATCATTTGAAACTGGGATTCAAAAATCCTCTAAAGATACTTGTTACCTTCACACAGTAGGCAGTATCTAGTGAGGGGGGAAAAAAAAAATCATAGGATTTTAGTCATTACAGCTGATTTGTTCAGACCCTACATTTGGTAAGTGATGACAAAGAGGCAAAGGGGCATGACCAAGGTGACACAGAGGGTACCAGTGAAGAAGAAACTAGAGATCTTTCAACCCCCATCTCCAGTGTAATGTCCACTCTGTTGTTATGTGCCGTTGTGTCAGTTCTGACCCATAGCGACCCTGTACAGGGTTTCCAAGGCTGTAAATCTTTACAGGAGCAGAAAGCCTCATCTTTCTCCTGCAGAGCAGCTGGTAGTTTCGAACTGCTGACCTTAAGGTTCACAGCCCGATTCGTAACCACTACGCTACCAGACTATCCTGTAAATATGAAAGGATTTCGTTTCCAATTGTAGAGCCTCACAACATCAATTTACATAGATTCTGTTACATGTGTTACCACTTCTTAAGACATTAAGATCTTTGCTTCCTTTCTAATGTAACTTGACTATAATCTCTAGAAGTTTTCTAAGCCTCTAAGTGTGCATTTTCCAGCAAGCAAGTTAAGTTGATAATAAAAAAAAATACTAGAAAGTTATATTGAAAACCAAAATCTTTTTCAGAATTTGTGGCACTTTTCAAAATAACAACCTAGAAGGCTATCAAATAAGTCCAATAAAAGAGTTAACATATGCACAACAATCCCCCTTTCTCCCTAGTAAGATTCTCTTAAAACATTTAATGCTCAGAGATTTATATAAAATAGTCATAGACCTATGTTGTTGTTGTGTTGTTGCTAAGTGACAATGAGTTGGCTCCGACTCACAGCGACCCTACACAGGGTTTCCAGGCTTTACATATTTGTGGGCCCAGAAAACCTCATTGTTCTCCCAAGATAATACCAAAAACTTTAACTTAGAAATAATTTATTCTACTTCATTTTAATTCTTACATGCACGCTAGACAGCTTTTGAAGCATTGAAAGCTTTCCAGAGCATAACATTTTCACTCCCATCCAGGTGCGGAAAATATCGATAGCGTTTTGATGCAGCCAGTGGAAAGTTTACTACAAGCATATTTGCATATTAGATGGGTGTGTCTGTGTGTTTTAAAATGATCCCATAGCTGGTGAGGAAAACTTGTAAGATTTTAGTGCTTATAGTTAAATTTTTCAAATGTCTCAACTGGTAAGTTATGAGAGTGAGGTAAAGAGTGGTCCAAGGTCATACAAAAGGCAACAATGTAGATAAAACTATCAGCCAGATCTTCCAATCTCTCATCTCCAGTGCACTTTGCAAATGTATATACCAAGGAGCTTCAAAATGTTTGTGGAGAAACAGAATTAAAAGATAATTTAACTTTTCCAAAAACTTTTTGATGCCCCTCTCTATATACACATATAAGTACTGAATATAAAATTTACATATATATAAATTTCTTAGGAGCCCTGGTAGCACTCTAGATTATGCATGCAGTGGTCTGCTAACTACAAGGTGGTGGTTTAAACCCACCAGCTGCACCAAGAGAGAAAGATGAGGCTGTCTCTTCCCAGAAAGACTTAGCTTGGAAACCCTGCTATGAGTTAGAATCGACTTGATGGCAGTGGATTGGTATTTTTTATATAATCCGCGTATTGCTTTTTAACATTATCTGTTGTGCAATTGTGAGGTAAAAGAGTTAGGAATAATTATTGCTTTAAGCTTCTTTGCTGCAAAAAGATAACACGACACCTGATTCCTCTCAGGCTATACTAAAACCTCATTGCTGTTGAGTTGATTCTCACTCAAAACAACTCCACAGGCAGAGGAGAATTGCCCCGAAGGGTTTTCAAGGCTGCACTCTGTATGAAAGCAGACTGCCCTGTCTTTCTCCCACAGAGCAAAGGGCTAGCAGGTTCAAACGTAGTCCTTTCTGTTAGGATCTCAGTGTTCAGTCACTGTGCCACCAGTCTCTCTCAATTCATCCTGTCACCAGACTATTTGTTTACTGTCCCTTTCTTCATTTTAACAGTAAAGTATATGTGGTTATGTAAGCACTCACTTCCATGTACAAGTTTTAAGAGATTCCTTGCAGGCACTTTGAAACAGTGACCAAAGTGCATGCAGAAATTTTCACAGGTAGAGCTGACTTAATATACAGTTGTAACAAATACAACTATGTAAAAAAGTATCAGTGAAACCAGTAAGACTGATTGATGAAGTAATTTATGAGTTGTATTTTTAAAGGAGCTCTGGTAGCGTAGTTACGAATCCGGCTGTGAACCGCAAGGTCAGCAGTTTGAAACTACCAGCTGTTCTGTTCCACAGGAAAAAGATGAGGCTTTCTGCTCCCATAAAGATTTCCAGCCTCGGAAACCCTGTACAGGGTCGCTATGAGTAGGAACCAACTCTCTGGCACATAACAACAACAATCCCTTTTAAAAGGCCCATCAGAACTTCAGTGATGAGAAAAAGCAAATCTTTTTTCCTTTGGTCCTGGTATGTTGCTGTAGGATAAGCATTGGATTGCTAACTGCAACACTGGCAGTTCAAACCTACCAGCTGCTCCTTGGAAACCCTACACAGGGTCACTATGAGTCAGAATTGACTCAAAAGCACTTAACAACAACTTTCCTTTAGAATTAACTTAGAAATGACTTAGCTATAGTCACATTAAAGACTTAAATGTCACTGTAAGAAAATATTTTTTCTACTCAGAATTCTAATTAAAAAAAAGAAGAGGCAGTTTCGAACCACTTTTATACATTGTAAATATAAACACTGTTTCCAAATCTGAAAAGGACAAATAACAAGGGTTAAGAGTAAAAATTCTGAAGTTCACACCTTGGCTTTTCCACTTCTTCCATGTGGGATTTTAATAAAGCTACTATCCTGCAGCTCGCTTTCACCATTCGTGTAATAGAGATAATAGGACTGCAGTTATGACCACTTATTACAAAATACAGTGCTCTGCATAGAATTTGGCTCTGACCCAGAGCAAGAGCACAATAAATCAGCTGTTGTCATTATTACTATTATGACAATGAAACATTCTATTCAGTTTCCTACTTTTTCATATTCTGAAGCTGAGTTGTTGTTAAGTGCCATGAAGTCAGTTCTTACTCATAGGGTTTCTGAGGAATGGATGGTGAATTTGAACCATTGACCTTGCAGTTGGTAGTCCAGTGCTTACCCTGCAGGGCCATACCACGACTCCAAAGTTTTGCTAAATAGGACCCAAAAAGTCCAGAACTGTCACTATTTTACTCTTTTCATTTTTGGATTAATGATCTAATTACTCTATGCATTATTTCTGGAAAAAAAAAAAAACTGCATGAAAACTATCTAGCACTCCCATGCCCTGCTATGCTCAACGGTCTACCTCTAAGAGAATGTAATGAATCGCTCAAATTTATCTGAAGTTTATGTTAATATCACACTTCACTTTACAGATAGTTGGGAGATTTTTTTGAGATTCTACTCCCCTTTTAAATCATCTCCCAACTCTTTTAAAATCTCCTAAGTGGTTAAATTTGCATAATATTAGGCCTACTCTTTGTTTCAAATTTTAAATGTTGTGCACATGCATTTTCAGCCTTTGCATGTAAAGAAAGCAAGGAAGTTGACTGAAGAATTCCATTCCTAGTTCCAAGTGCTAGGTCAGAGCTGGCGAAGGGAACATGGCCACTTGGACTATCACAATCACTTGAACTGCTTGAATGCTAACAATGATAAACCATCAACTACCATTCATGAGGAACTGAATCTTTTTAAGCCAATGATGATTATCAACGCCAATAAGCTTTACACCTGAAAAAAGTTAAATTGGCAAAAGCTGTGTGATAGAACTATTTACAATGACCAAAGCATGTGTAGCTGCTGAGACTGCTTATGTACAATAAAAACTTCATGGGACTTGGTTCTTTGGTTTGGAGGTTCAGGGTCATGATTTCATGGAATATCCCAGTTAATTGGCCTAGTAACATATTTAGTGCCTCTCTTCTTCCACCTAGTTCATTGTGTAGTTCCTTAAAAGCTTGCAAGGGGTCATCTAAGGCATGACAATTGGTCTCTATTTGCCTGAACAACAGAGGAAGGAGGGACAAGAAGAGGGTAGGAAATGTGTGGCAAAGTGCCTCTGTGAACAACTGCCCTCTTTGTCATGAGATTAGAACTGAATAGTGTCTAACACTCACATCAGAGATTGTATAAAGAATAGTGATCAGAAGGAGAGAAATGCATTACACTATGCTATTTGAAGAACTATATATACATAGGTGCAGTGACAACAGCAACTTGAAAGTCTAAATAAGAAACTAAGGGGGCAGTGAATCTATATTAATGGGGGAGGGACAACTCTGAGAAGGAGATGAGAAGGGTTCACAAGTCCAAAAGTGTAGTCAATGTCACTGAATTGTAGACACAGAAACAGTTGACTTGGTATATGTTTTGCTGTCCATATTTTCAATAACAACATTAAAACTTAAAAAGTAAAAAACAAATTCAGAACTGATTAAAGACCAAAAAAAATTACTTCCTGAGACTATGAAGATACAATTTGATCACACATCTTATAATACTGTCAGATAAATATTGCCAAGTAAACACAAAAGTCACATTTTATTTAGCAACATACCTTATCATATGGCAAAAGGCCTTTCAAAGGAAAACGAAGAGTTGCAGGATCCAACTTCCATGAATTACAAATGGCACCTGAGTTATTTACAACTGGCAGAAGACTGCAGCGACCTATTATGTATTTAAAACACAGAAAAGCTAAAGAATTGTGAACACTGCATACCTGTCTTAAAGCATTTGCAACAAGTCTTTAAATATCTGTAAAGTTAATACAGGGTCAGGTAGACACAGAGAGATATTTGGAACTTTTCTTTGATTACTATTAGTCCAGATGGTTAGAGACCAATTTATACAGGCCTTTCAAACTAAAACATGCTTCCATTTTGTCCAAGTGTCTAGGACAGGAGTCAGCAAACTACAGTATATGGACCCAATCCAGCCAACCACCTGTTTTTGTAAAGTTTTATTGGAACACAGCTGTTTTTTGCACCAAATAGCATAGCTGAGTAATTGGAACAGACTGTATAAAGACAAAGTGAAAAAAAAAAAAAAATTAATTACTATACGGTCCTTTTATAAAAAGTATGAAGGTCCCATGTCTAGGGTCAAGATGATTAACTACATATAGCAGGATGCCTCTAGAGAACTTAGATATAGAACCAGCTCATATATTCGACAGGCTAACCAGTATTGCTACTTAAATGTTCCATTGGTGTTGTTAAGTGCCATTGAATCGGTTTCGACTCATAGTGACCAAGTACAGGGTTTCCAAGGAGTGGCTGGTGAGTATGAACCACCTACCTCGTGGTTCTAATCAACTATGCGGTCCTGTACTTATCCTAGAGCGCCAAACCTCAAATTTACCATGTCTCAAATTAAACTCAATATCTTTCTTCTCAAACATGTAACACTTCCACAACCCATTAAATGGCACATCTACCCAATGACATGTGAACCACAAGGTCAGCAGTTCAAAGCCACAGCTGTTCCCTGAAAACCCCATACAGGGATGGTATGAGTTGGAACCAACTCAACAGCACTTAACATCAACAACAACCCAATTACAAAAGCTAGAAGCCTCAGAATTTTAGTTTGTTTAGGTCCTGGTGTAACACTGCAGAATACTCACTGGGCTGCTAACCACAAACCTACCAGCTGCTCCTCTAAAACACTATACAAGGTTGCTTTAAGCTGGAGTCGACTCGACGGCACTTAGTAACAACAAAACAACACTAAGTTCATAAGGTACTCAATATCTGATCAACGTTGGATCTATATATCCAGATGATTCTGAGGCCACCATGATTTTTAGAAGTAATTCATGAGTACATGTGGGCACTGAAAAAAATTACCTAATCACATACTCAATTTTTTCAAGAAAATTCAGAGAATCTAACAAACTATTACAAAATAAAAACCAAAACAAATGAGATCAAGAACAAAGGTGAGAATTACAATGGGCTGAAGGAGCCCCATACTCTCATGTACTGTTGTTGTTGTTGTTGTTGTTAGGTGCCATCGAGTCGGTACCAACCCATAGCAACCTTATGCACAGCAGAACGAAACACTGCCCGATCCTGGGCCAACATCACTATTGCTGCCACGCTTGAGTCCATCGATGCTGCCACTTGGCCAATCCATCTCGTTGGGGGGGTCTTCATCTTTTTCTCTGAACCCCCACATTACCAAACATGATATCCTTCTCCAGTGACTGTTCCCTCCTGACAACTTCAATCTTTTCTCCGTTGATAAGAATGTTGTTTATTGGTCCAGTGGTGAGGATTTTTGTTTTCTTGACATTGGGATGTAATCCATACCAGACTTTGCTCTTTGTTCTTCATCAGCAAATGTTTCAAGTCCTCTTCACTTTCAGCAAGCAAGGTTGTATCATCTGCATATCACAGGTTGTTAATGAGTCTTCCTCCAATGCTGATGCCACATTTTTCTTCATGTAACCCAGCTTCTTGGATTATTTGCTTAGCATACAGGCTGAATAAGTATGGTGAAAGAATACAACCTTGTCATACATCTTTCTTAATTTTAAACCATTCAGTGTTCCCATGTTCTTTTCGAACAACTGCCTCCTGGTCCAGGTGCAGATTCCTCATGAGCATAATTAAGTGTTCAGGAATACTCATGCTTCACAATGTTGTCCATAGCTTGTCATAATCCACACAATCGAAGCCTTTGCACAGTCAACAAAGCACAGGTAAACATCTTTCTGATATTCTCTGCTTATAGCCAAGATCCCTCAGACATCAGCAATGATATCCCTCATTCCATGGGGTCTTCTGAATCCGGCTTGAACCTCTTGAAGTTCTTTGTCAATGTATGATAGTAGCCGTTTCTGTATTACCTTTAGCAAAACTTTACTCGCTTGAGATATCAAAGAGATTGTCTGATGATTTCCGCATTCTGTTGGGTCACCTCTCTTTGGAATGGGCACAAATACGATCTCTTCCAATCAGTCGGCCAAATAGTTGTCTTCCAAATTTCTTGGCAGTGATGAGTGAGTGCCTCCTGTACCGCCTTCAATATATCCCACCGAATTTAGAGATCATCTGTACTATGGCCACACAACAACAGCTTTGCTGAGACTTTAGTTACCTAGAGATTCTATGGTGCTTTCCTAGCTGTATTAAAAGGTCCTCCTAATCACCAGAAACAGCACCTTCTAGAACAGTTCTACCTGAAACTCAGACCCAGTCTGGACAGCTACTTTTTCCTTTCTACATAGGTATCTAAGGAGCCCTGGTGGTATGGTGGTTATGTGTTGTGGAGTCGGTTCCAACTCATAGCGACCCTGTACAGGGTTTCCGAGGCTGTAAATCTTTACGGGAGCAGAAAGCCTCATCTTTTTCCTGCAGAACAGCTGGTAGTTTCGAACTGCTGACCTTAAGGTTCACAGCCCGATTCATAACTACTATGCTACCAGAGGGTGGTATAGTGGGTTATAAATTGGGCTGCTAATCACAAGGTCAGAAGTTCGAGTCTACCAGCAGGGAGAAAAATGAGGCTTTCTGTTGCCATAAAGATTTACAGCCTCAGAAACTTTTATATAGAGTCACTATAAGACGGAACTGACACAATGGCACACAATCATCACCACCACCACTAAGCAGGTACCTTAAAAATAAGTGAAAGACTATTGTTAAGCTTCTAGAAAGTTCAGGGTCGCTATGGGTCGGAATCGACTCAATGGCACTTAACAACAACAACAAGAAAGTTATTAAACGGATAGGCCACAGAGACATATATACAATCCTTCATCTTTGTTTAATAGTTAAGATCACTAAAAATCAGTACCATTTAATATATATCAAATTATCCTACCACAAATGGAGTTTATTCTTGCTGTGGGCCTGAAGGTATCCACAAAGTCTGATACTAGATTTCCAAGTAACTAAAAAAAGATAATACACAATAAAATATAAAAATAAAACCAAGAATTATTTACATAAAATGACATAATATATATCTAGTACTATGTTTGGCATGACAACTGATAATTATTCAAAGATAAGTTAGTTCCCTTTTGCTTTCTTTCAAACAATGACTTACCAGATCAGCTTTCTGTGAATTAACTCAAATCATATTACCATATATCCTTAGTAATTTGATGAAGCTGTATGTATTTTATTATATAGCATATGTACTAGCTCAATGGGACAACAGAGAAATAAAAGAAATACCTCATAACAATTTAAAAAATATGTATTATTTAAGGAAAACAATGACTACTTCTTAAAAATCATGTAAAAATAAATTACAATACCTACTTAGGATTAAGTTTCAACTAAAAACTTCAAAAAATAAAAAATTTACCCAGTGTGGAAGTTTCCCCTCAGGATATAGTTTCCTTATCTCAGTGACTGCAAAATAGGCAGGTAATAAGCAGGCATTTCTTTCCAAGATATATGCTATAACCTATGAAAATTAGAATGCAATGTTATTACTCTTGATGAGTTCTGTTTATATGCCCTTTAAATACAACAATAAAACTACTACTAAAATAAACTACAGCCATTATTTCATGGATTCATAGATCTTAAATAGAGTGTAAATTAACTCACTGGTATGTAAAGAATCTCTAAAAATGAAGATTAATAAACAATGGAATGGATTGTTAATGGTTAGTATATAATTTTGAATATACTTTAAAAACTGATAGTCATGAAAGGCGAGCAGTAGACCAGAGTGTTCTTGTAATAGGAGCTACAAAGCATGAAGATCTTTTATGTAGTCCATTGGCTGGTTTAAAATACTTTAATATCTATACTGCTGTTGTAATTATTTGTTAAGTGCCGCTGAATCAATTCCAACTCATAGCAACCCTGTATAGGACTTCCAAAGAATGGCTGGTGAGTTTGAAACTTCAACCCTCATGGTTCAAATGGACTTTATAGTCCAGTGCTTATGCTACAGCACTACACCAGAACTACATTTTCATAATTAAAGTCCATAAATTAGTTTAAAATTCCCTATTGAAAAATTAATAAAAGTGCAATAGCATCTTTAAGAGTACAAATGATTTTATAAAAGAAAAAAATATCTTCCCACACAAACTAAGAGAACTAAACAAAACTACACCTGAAGTTAGAATTGGTGGATTTCAGACATTTACCTCTCTTGCTGCCAGAAGTTGCTGTACAACAGCTGAGCTCACTGTATTAGGAATTGTCAAGATTTTCTCCAAAATCACTTTTAAAAGATCTCGAACACCCTGATATAAGCAGACAGACATATGTTAAGCTAATTAACATCCCCTGTGCTAGATTCCACAAGATAAGGCCCTAATACAGAAAACATGATCTATTTCCTTTGATTGTTATTAGCTGCCAATCATGGTAGGCCCATGCACAATGGGCCGAAACACCTCTCTATCCCATGCGATTTCCATGATCAGCTGCGGACTAGACTATTGTGATCCACAGAATGTTTAGCCGCTGATTTTAGGAGGTAGATTACCAGGCCTTTCTTAGCCTAGAAGCTTTGCTGAAACCAGTTCAGCATCATAGAAACATGCAATCTACCAATGACAGATGGGAAGCGACTGCCTGTGAGGTACACTGGGCAGGAATCGAGCCCAGGTCTCCCAGACAGAAGGCAAGAATTCAACCACTGACTTTCTAGTAATGCTCAACCCAAAGGCTTCAGGATTACCTACTTTAGAAAAGATCACATCGTTAACTTCTGAATCAGAGTTAACACTAAGTCTCTAATGTTAACTCAAAAAAGAAGCCATGTTGTAAATGGAATTCTAACGAATGTTATGTAATGCTGCTGCTGCTGTTGCTACTGCATGTTGTCAAGTCAGTTCCAATTCACAGCGACTGTGAGTAAGATTTCCGAAGCTGTAATTAGGGGAGCAGAAAGTCTCATCTTTCTCCTGTGGAGTAGCCAGTGGATTCAAACTACTGACCCTGAGGTTAGCAACCCAAGGTATCACACACTAACTATGCTACCGGGGATGATATGTTAGATGAATGACCAAAGGCTCAGAAAAGTGAAAATTAAACTTTTTACAATCTTTGTTATTTTTCCAATACAACAAGAAAGCTTAACTTGTGCTGAAGGGCAGAAATAATGAGAAGCTTTAAAAAAGTTGGTGTGAAAATGGGATTAAAAGATAATGGAATTTTTCCATGAACTTTTTGAAGCCCCCTCATATATTTGAATACGACTTGAAAATATTCTGAAAACATAGATATAATAATAATAATAATAATAAACTTCCCGGCAGATGATCCTTTCTGCCCACTCCCTTTGGCATATTTTAACTTCATTGGCCCTGTTCATTTACCACATACCTTAATCTATCAAGCTTATCCAATAAGGCTATTCTGTTAGTGGACTAGCTCTACCTATCCTTTACCAGTTGTGTTACTTCATAGCAGAATCTAACACAGAGAATATCATTCAGTGTGCATTTATTGACTATATATTGTGACCAGTTTTACAAAAGACAGATAAAACATACATGGAAGAAATTCGAAACAATTATAAATCACCATATAAGCAAATGTAAAGGTAAAAACTACATATTAAACTGATAAGAAATTAAAGTATGATAAAGAAAAAACAATTATAAAAAGCTTTTTAGGATTATTTTGTACTAAAAATCATGATTCAAATCAATGATTATCTATTAGTTCATTAACTGTTAAGGCATTTCAGATTTCCAAGAATGCAAGAGATATCAAATACAGTCAGGAACTAGTAATTCTTTCAAAAAGGACAATTAACAAAAGTGACTTCAATGAAGCAGAGGCTTTGTAGCACCAGAGGTGAATGTCTGTTGCAGTTGTGTTGAACAGTCGGAGTACTGAAGGTATTAGTTAAGGCGGGCACAGACCAAGGAAGATCAAAAGTACGTGTCAAGGGGGACTTTGTTCCCTTCATCAGTTGATGCCTATATTCCTTGTTTCCATCTGTTCTTTCATGTATTATATAAATGAGGTCCTCAATATAATAATATCTGTGGCATGACTAAACACACATTGTTTGTGATTCCCCAACTCTTCATAAAAATACATTGTTATTGTTGTTGTCAGGTGCCATCGAGTCGGAACCGACTCATAGCGACCCCATGCACAGCAGAACGAAACAATGTCCGATCCTGGGCCAACCTCACTACCGCCACCACACTTGAGTCCATCAATGATGCCACCTGGCTGATCCATCTCATTGGGGGTCTTCCTCTTTTTCTCTGACCCTCCACCTTACCCAGCATGACATCCTTCTCCAGCGACTGTTCTCTCCGGACAATGTGTCCAAAGTATGAGAGACGAAGCTTAGCCATTCTGGCCTCCAAGGAGCACTCTGGCTGTACTTCTGCCAAAACAGATCTATTGGTTCTTTTGGCAGTCCATGGCACTTTCAGTATTCTCCTTCAACACCACAACTCAAAGGCATCAATTCTTCTACGATCTTCCTTATTCACTGTCCAGCTTTCGCATCCATATGAGGTTATTGAAAATACCATGGCTTGGGTCAGGCGCACCTTAGTTCTCAAGCTGACATCTCTGCTCTTCAATACTTTAAAAAGTTCCTGTGCAGCAGATTTGCCCAATGCAATACGTCGTCTGATCTCTTGACTGCTGCTTCCGCGAGTGTTGATAGTTGATCCAATAAGAATGAAGTCCTTGACAAACTCAATCTCTTCTCCATTGATAAGAATGCTGTTTATTGGTCCAGTGGTGAGGATTTCTGTTTTCTTTACATTGAGTTGTACTTGTATTCTTTAGAGGGAAACAGAAGTTATAAAAGCCACTTTTAAGACACTTTAAGAAATATACAACAACAAAAAATATATTAAAAAGAATGCTTCCACTTCATTTCTTACCTGGAAATAACATACATAAATGGAAATATTAATCATATCTGAAAGAGAACACTTTATAATTAGAGAAAAGTACCTTATAATCTACTCCTCCAATTATTTTCCGAACAAGTTTAAATGTTAATGCCCAAAGCTGTGTTCTTTCCCATTCAAGTGTATCAGAGTTTATCAGGGATTCACAAACCATCCTAGAAAAAAGGAATATACAACCTAACTACAAACAGAATTTTTTTCTGAAAACTACTGTGTTTTTCATGAAAGTACATAATTACGCAAAGATCATTTTAAAACTGTATGCATAACATTTTACATTCTATATCTATATAAAGTTTAAAGATTAAAGATAAAGTTGTTGTAAGCATTGCTGAGTTGATTTCGACTCAGTGACCTTTTATAGCGTTTCCAAGAAACAGCTGGTGAGTTTGAACCGTTGACCTTAAGGTTCAAAGTGACCTTGTGGTCCAGTGCATTATCCTACAGTGCCACACCAGAACTCCACAGTAGAACTAAGTAATACTCAGTATATTTTACTTCAACTAGAAGGAAACCTATCAAAAGCTATTGGTTAATGTCTAGCAAATATCAGTTTGCTGCAGATTGCATATTTCCACGATAGTGCTAAGATTTTCTACTCCTCATGCTTTTCTGAAATGAGACACTGGATGAGGGGGATGCCAATGTTCTTTTCTCTTGCTAGGACTTCTAGTTAAGGTAATAAAGGTGATATGGCTTCTGTGCAGCCCTCTTTGGAATATCTGATTTTGGTATCTAGCATGCTGTGAAAAAGTCCAGGACACATGGAGAAGCACGTGTAGTTTCTAATTGATAGCTCAGCCATCAACCACCAGACGTCTGAGCAGTTAAGTCTTCATCGTAACTCCAGCAGGCACTGTCTCAATGCAACCAAGAAGTGATCCTAACAAGAAACTGTCTGCTAAATCCAGTCAACCACCATAACCATTAGAGATAGTAATAAAGTAGTTAAGTGTTAGAAACCAGGAAGCAGTGATAATTCATCATGTAGCTGAAGTAACTGAACAAGCTCACCAAAGTGAGTGATCTCAGTCCCTCAACTGAAAGGTAGATCCTATCTGGTCTTAAACTTACACCTGTGCAACACTTCACATCTATTTGGGCAGCCTGGACCACTCATGCTGATCAGGAAGATAGAATCAGGGCTAGGAATACTCTGCTCTCTCCTCACCCTCTCAGCTGGCTTCTGCCAGTAACAGCAGCGGCAGCAGAGACAAAGACCAATGGAAGCAAGCTTCCGTAGGGTTTTAATATTGTGTTTGTATAACTCCAAATCCTATTTTAAAGAACATACCATGGATATAAGTGATGCGTACATGTATACAATTCTAAGAATATTGCATTCTAGAAACTGAAACCTCTAAAACCTAAGCTGTTATGAAGAATTATCTGATGAGCCTACACTTCCTTCATCATTTCTTTTTTCTTTTATTACAGCTACCTCAACCCGTTTTTCAACATTAATATAAAGGAAAGTTTTTTAGATTGCTTAGATCCACCAAAAACATACCTGGGTGGAAGAAGACCAGTTTCAACTGCCATAGCTAAGCAGTCATAAAGAAAAGAAATTCTTTTAGGACTATGCTGGCCGTGAATGAATTTAACAACCCACTGGATACACTGCTCATGAGATTCCTGAAAAATGAGAAAGTGATTATATTTAGTATCTAATACTACTTTTTAATTCAACAAATGGTTAATACTATACCTGAAAACACATAAAGACTATAAATGAAATGCCTATCATAAGAACCAGTGGGTGAAAATTTAAAAAGGCAAAATGAAAAAAATTCAGATTTAATATTTTAGTCTAGTTGAGAAGATCACCAGCAAGACGGATTGGCAAAGTGGCAGCATCGATGGGCTCAAGCGTGGCAACGATAGTGAGGTTGGCCCAGGATTGGGCAGTGTTTCATTCTGCTGTGCATAAGGTTGCTATGAGTGGGCACTGACTCGATGGCACCTAACACCAACAACAACAACAATAATAAACACACACTCTTACTATTGTATAAATTAAAACTGCACCATTTTTATTATGTGGGACCTTGGGACTCATAAGGAGTGAAATTTTTACTATCATATTTACAGTCAATTGAAAATGATAAAATTGTGTTAAATGAATAAGCTGAAAGAAACTGCAGTACATTTACTTTCTTAAAAGTTCCTTCTTTTTTTAAAAAAATTATGCTATTTTCTTGGATGGCAATGGAGTTTGTTAGAACATTTCTAAAGGGCAAAATATACCATTGGAAAAGTACATAGGAAGCTAAAGTAAAGTTCTCTAGAATGGAAGAAAAATTGCTTTTCATGTCAAAAATTGTAAAAACCCATATAATGGATGACAGTCAAACCCAAAATCCAAACCAACAGTCACTGAGTCGATTCCAACTCACAGCGACTCTACATAGGGTTTCCAAGGCTGTCATTTTTGTTGTTACATGCAGCCAAGTGGTTCCGACTCACAGCAACCCTGTATAGGGTTTCCGAGGCTATCAATCTTCAAGAGAGCAGAATAGGAGCAAAAAGTCTCATCTTCCTCCTGAGGAGCAGCAGGTGGGTTTTTAAATTGCTAACCGTGTAGATAGTAGTACAGTGCTTATCCTACAATACCACCAGGGCCCCAAACAGATGAGAATGCCTATCTGCAAATAACACTTTTAAAAACTGCTACCTAGAAATGAAGCTCTGGTAGCTTAGTGGTTACGAATCAGGCTGCGAACCTTAAAGTCAGCAGTTTGAAACTACCTCCTGTTCCGTGGAATGAGGCTTTCTGCTCCCGTAAAGAGTTACAGCCTCGGAAACTCTGAACAGGGTCGCTATGAATCAGAACTGACTCCACGGCACATAACCACCACTACCAAGCTGTAACTTAATTAGCAATACCAATAAAATCTGTATGAGCAGAAGATGGTGGTATTCTGTGAAGGGGAAGAATTTGAATGCGGGCAGCAGCAGGAAATGATTTTTCAGTAAATAAAGACCTATGTTACAGAAGGATGAAACTTGATGCCTTTTGAACACATCAACATTCTGGTTGCAAATTTGATTTTCTAGATAACTTGAAATGAAAGAAGCGATCTTAATGGCAGATATTTTGCCAATGGAGATAATGATCTATCCAAGATTAGTGTATCAGCCTCATGAGAATTTAGGGTGATTCTAATCCATAAGAACTTAATCATTTACAAATTGAATGGCATGTCAAAGTTCTCAATCTACCTCAAAACCTTATCTGCCCAGATCATTATCTGTCTACTGGGATGCTCCCAAGAAGAGCCTATACATCCTGCACTGATTTCAAAACAATGATCTACTTCTGACTTCTTTAGAATGCACATTTCTTAAAAACAAATAGCCATATATTAACTCATAGAACGCTTAATGAATTAATTTAAAATGTTGAAAAGATGTCTAACTTCACTCAGAGAACTGAAAAATATGACTATATTAAGATAAAACATGTCAGTTCTCAGTTTTGCAAAGATCAAGTTTATTAACACTGCTATGGCTATGAGGAAAACAGACACTGCTATGGAGTGAACAGTATACACCAAACCATGTACCAGAGTGCTAACCTCTACAGCTATGGATGCAATCCTGTGTGGGAACAGGTTTTCTGTTAGAGGGTTTGCTCTATTTTGTTAATGAGGCCATATCAGTGTTATTGTTGTTGTTGTTGTTAAGCATTGTCAAGTTGGTTCCAATTTCTAGTGAACCTGGATAGAGTTCCAAGAAGCGTCTGGTAAGTTTGAATGACCAACCCTGTAGTTCAAACTGACCTTGTGATCCAGTGCTGATTACACAGAGCCACACCAGGACCCCGTATCAGTGTTGGGCATGTCATAAACCTAATGACTTTGATATATAAAAAGAACAAGACAGATACAGAGACATGCAAGCAAAATAGGGAAAGACAGATAACACATGGAGATGTCCAGTAGCTGAAGAATGCCAAGGCTAAGGAAGATGAGTTGAGCACCTTCCTCTAGAGTTGGTACCCTCGATCTGGCCCTCCTCCCTCTTCAACTGTGAAAAACTGAACTTCTGCATTTAGAGCCTTGCATTCCACCACTCGTCTGTCAGTCTGTCACATTGTGGTGTCTTGCGTGTTGCTGTGATGCTCAAAGCTTGCCACCAGTATTGTATTGTAAATACCAGCAGTACCACCCATGGTTGACAGGTTTCAGTAGAGCGTCCAGACTAAGACAGACTACAAAGAAGAGGCGGACACTGCTGAATGGCTACTCACTGAAAACCTTCTGAGTAGCTGCAGAACACTGTCAGTGTGCCAGGCTCTCCTCACCCAAAGGTCAGCCAGATATGTAGCATAAGACAGACACTCTTATATATTGCTAAGCCCATTGCTGTAGACTCCATAGGACAGGAGAACTGCCCCACAGGGTTTCCAAAAAGATGTAGCTCTTTATGGAAGCAGACTGCCACATCTTTCTCCTGTGGAGCAACTGGTGGGTTTGAACTACTGACCTTTTGACCAGTGTTCCACATACATTGCTAATGGATATAAACTGGTATAAACTAAGGAGTCCTGGTGTGGTGCTGAGGGTTAATGCACTGGACTACAAAATCAATTTGAACTGCAAGGTCAATGGTTCAAGCTCACCAGTCACTCTCTGGAAACCTTATACAGGGTCTCTATGGGTCGGAAATGACTCGCCGGCACTTAACAACATCCTCAAACTGTATAGAACACTACTTGATAATTTCTATGAAAAATTATAAACAGATGTAACCTTTGTTGTTGCTGCTAAGTGTCAATGAGTCAGTTTTAACTTATAGCGACCCTGAACAGGGTTTCCAAGGAGTGGCTGGTGGGTTTGAGCCACTGACCTTGTGGTAAGCAGTCCAGTGCTTATCATACAGAGCCATACCAGGACTCTCATATAACCTTTAACCCAGCAACACTATTTCCAGAAATTTATTGTTATTTTCGGTGCATACTATCATTCATTCTGAACCAAAAAACACCAAACCACAGCCACTGAGTCAGATGCAACACATAGCAACCCTATATAGGGTTTCCGTGACTGAAAATATTTATGGGAGTGGACAGCCTCATCTTTTTTCCTTGGAACAGCTGGTAGATTTGAACTACCAACTTGTGGTTATCTCTTTTTAATGATGACAATTTTATTTCTTCATTTCTGGAAAAAAAAACTTAATAGTAGTCACATCAAAGAAAGTGTTGTAAAAAAGAGCCCCAAATCATCAGCTAAATCTATGAGAGAAGATGTACTGCTCACCTGTGAAAGACCAGCCCAAAACTGTCTGAAGGCCCCCAAACAGCTGATAAGTTTTGTTTTTTCATCTTCAGGGGTATCCATAAACATGCTAAAATACAAACAAACCGCCGCAAATTACATTTGCCACTAGCTTTCAAAAGGCAATTCAACATAACCAGCACAATGTGATAAACTCCCCTTTCCCATGAAAAAATCTAAAGTACCCTCAGTTAAAAAGATAAAAATCTCCCATTCATTACACTCACCCAGGGAATGCTTCTTCTATAATTTCCGTTTTCTGTAAAAACAAACAAACAAAAACCACGTAAACGCGTATAAAATGAGAGGTGGTGTTTCCCCAATGTCATGTTAAGTGCCGTGGAGTCGGTTCCAACTCACAGCGATTCTGTACATATTTCCAAGGAGCGGGGTGAGTTTGAAACGCCGATCTTGTGGTTAGCAGTACAGAGCTTATCCAAGAAGCTCCACACCATGACTCCAACGACAAAGTGCAAGTCATATTATTAATCAGCCACACACAGAAACTACGCTTGTGTGGCCTACAAGAAGCCTGTGGATTTCAAAGGAGACCCTGAATCTGGCAACAGTTTTAGAATCACTAAGCCCTGTCCACATACACTCGTGTCATAACAAAGGAGGACGAAGGGGCTGCCCAGGCCGAGTTAATTGATCCACTGTCTCTGGTTCTTCCGTGGCGTCGCCCTGGATCCCAAGTAGTTCCACTCACCACCACATCCTCAAAAATGCTCTGCAGTTGTGTCTCCATCTGCACCATCTACCTCCCTTTCTGGGAGGTCCCGGCGCGACCCGGGTCAGGCCCGAGCTCCAGGATCTGAAAACCCGAGGGGCGGAGACGCGCAGAGGAAACTGCAGTTCACTGGGGTCGCTTTCCTCTCCAAGCGTAGAGCTGGCAAAGTACCCTCCAGGTCCCTACAAACAATTGTAGCCTTCCGGAAGCCCGGAAAGGCTGGGTGCGCCGCGATTACAGTACCCCATGAAACCCGGAAGCCCTCCAGATCGTTCCGCATGTGGAGCAGGACGATCCGCGAAACGTGGACTAGCGCGCCCTCAAGCGGAACCTGGAGCCCAAGTCGCCTGAAAGCGTCAAGTGCTGGAATGGAGTTGCTTCCTCGTTAGGACTGATGGGTTTGCAGATGGGCATTAAAAAAACACGTCCTGCCACCGCCAGGGCCAACCTGATGGCGGTGAGCTGCTGGCTTTCTGCAACTCCATCAGCAGCCTGGAGCCTTGAGCTGAAGCCACACTTTCTTGATGACACGGACCAAATCTAAAACTACGGTAGCCTGCGTGGCTTAGCACAGTACCAGACACTTAGAAGGCCTGCAATAAAGAAATAAATGCATCGCAACTGAATTTTAATTAGAACCGTTGAATAATAATATCTACTTGTTTAGTTAATAATATTTACCATTTTTGAGTGCTTGTACTTGTCAGCTGCTCCTCGGAAGCCCTATGCAGGGTCTCTATGAGTCGGAGTTCACTTAACAGCGCTTAACAATAACACAAAAACCTGAACTTTGGTAGCGTAATGGGTTGTGTCAGGATGCTAAATGCAAGGTCAGGAGTTCAAATTCACCAGCATCTCTGTGGGATAAAGAAGCGGTTTTCTGCTATCTTAAAGTCGCTGTGAGCCAGAATCCACTCCTCGGCACACCACCACAATGTTTTAAGAAACTCTGATGTCGCTGTGAATTAGGTGTTGACAGCTCAAACTCACCAGTCATTCCACAGGAGAAAGACAAGTCTGTCTGCTCCTTTAAGGATGTACAATCTTGGAAACTCTGTATAGAGAGGCTGAGTCAGAATTGCCTGGATGGCAAAGGTACAAATCGGATATAACTTTTTTGTGACAATAGGAGTTGAGAAGGATGGTAAAGAGACGGCTGGTCCACTGGCATGAGGCAGTAGATGCTAAGTGTACTGAGTGGTGTGTCACTTGTAGCCTCTCAACCATCACTTTTAAGCCTTACACATTTTTGAAAGTGTGCCCAACTCCTCTTAAGATGACCTAGGTGTCTCTTTTTTCTCCTCATATAATAATGTGCATACTGTTGTAGGACTTCACTATGGTATATTTATCCACTATCTACTCTATGTCAGGCATGTTTGTTGTTAGGTGCCATCGAGTCAGCTCTGATTCATAGCCTCCCTGTGCACAACAGAATGAAACCCTGCGTGGTCCTGTACCACATTCACAGCTGGTACATTTGAAACCATTGTGCTCTGATAGCGTAGTGGTTATGAATCGGGCTGCGAACCTCAGGGACAGCAGTTCGAAACTGCCAGCTGTTCTGCCGGAGAAAGATAAGGCTTTCTGCTCCCGTAAAGATTTACAGCCTCGGTAACCCTGTACAGGGTTGCTATGAGTAGGAACCGACTCCACAGCACATAACAACATAAACAACAATCCATCACATTGGAGATCTTCCTCTTTTTCACGGACCCTCCAGTTTACCAAGCATAATGTCCTTCTCCAGAGACTGGTCTCTTCTGATACCATGTCCAAAGTATGAGAGACAAGTCTGGCCAACCTGGCTTCTAAGGAGCATTCTGCCTGTACTTCTTCCAAGATATATTTGTTTGTTCTTCTGACAGTCCTTGGTAACTTTAATATTTTTCTCCAACATCATAATTCAAATTCATGGAATCTTCTACAGTGTTCCTTATTCATTGCCCAGCTTTCACATGCATATAAGGTAAATGAAAATGCCATGGGTTAGGTCAGGCACACCTTAGTCCTCAAAAGGATACCTTTGCTCTTGAACACTTAAAAGATGTCTTCTGCCACAGATTTGCCCAATACAATACATCATTTGATTTCCTGACTCGTGGATACAAGCAAACTGAAGTCTCTGTCAGACATTCATTATTGTTAAGTGTCTTTGAGTCGGTTCTGACTCATAGAAACCCTGCATAGGGTTTATGAAGAGCAGCTGGTTTATGAGGAACCGCTTTTCTTGCAGTTCAAACCGACTTATCCCACACCACGACTCGTTGTCAGGCATAGCATATAGGTATTTCATAAGCTCTATTGCAGTCATTCCATCATCTGTCAGTTTGTCATACTGCAGTCACTTCCTGTTGCTGGGATGTTGAAAGCTGTGCCAACAGTATTTAAAACATCAACAATCTCACCCATGCTGGACAGCTTTCAGAGAGCTTCCAGACTCAGAGATTAGAAAGAAAAGCCTGGCAATCTGCTTCTAAAAATTAGCCAGTGAGACTGAGTAAAAGAGGAGAAAGAATGTGAAGATATTGACTGTCTTATGAATGGTTTCCTTTGCTTACTTCTGTTAAATAGACACTTGAGTGGGATAGAAAGGAATATGGGGAAATATGATTACGGAAAGCCTGTAAACCTGTCTTCAGCCCTAGCTGATTGGAATACCTAAAAGGGGTTCTAGAATTTGTCCAGTGAAATAGCCTTCCTGCGGAGCCTTTGTAGTCTATAGGACCTTAAGTAGAATCCTGAGCCCCATCCAGAGCCCTCTGAGATGGGACATTTCTACTTAAAAGGACAAGCACACCAGCCTAGAGCAGCTAGAGGAACAGAAGATAATTCTTGAAAGAAAGACCAGCAGGAAAATTCAAAAAACAAAAATGGTAGTCTGATTGATTACTACAAGAACAAGCAAGTTGTTCACTGGGGAGCCATCAAGGCAAGCAATCAAGTTCCTTCAAGACCAATCCCCCACCAAGACTGAAATGCAAAGGGAACACATGAGTTTTCTGGGGACCACATTGGTCTCCTGGTGAGTGGAAGAGGGGGAAAGGTGCCAACGAAGATATGGGCTAAGTTCGACCAAGTTCCATAGACTCCCGTTGACCTGGAGATGAGAGCGTGAAGAGGAGCGGTTGGCTGGTCGGAAGTGTGGTGAGACCTGTGGACTCCTGAGCCCAGGGACAAGGACATAGCCACAGAGGGCTGGAGTTGAGATCTAAGTGCCCAGCTGATATGAAGGGAGAGGAGATGTACAAGAACACTCAAACTTGTAGACAATACCCATTTGACCTGGCTTCAGTGGTTTGATGATCTGAACTCGACCAGAGGAAGCTAAAAGAAAAAAGAAAAAGATAATCTTTTTTTTCTTTGATTAAGGAAACAAGTGTAAATTGCTACAATTTGATGAACTTGGCCTATGCTTATGGATGTAGTAGCTCAAAATACCAACTGAGAGGGAAGGAGTCTTAACATCCAAAATCAATCTTATCGCCTCTGTATATAGGGTTGATAGAGATGGACAACTTAGACATTGGCTACCTAAAATGGGAAAGGCTATAAAGACATGAAGTGACTGGCTTACAAGTCTTCAAGAAGGAGTTTAGTTTCAGAGTGTGGGGGGGGAAGGTAGAGTCCCTACTGAATAGTTTTCATCTTGTCTAGATGGGTCTGGTTAAAAGAGATGGGGATAAAATTCTTATGATTCAATAATGAATAATTGTTATCATGACTAATTGCGATTGTCACAATTGTAAAAGTAGAAGTTTTGTAACAAAAACATGGGATTGGTTAATCTTACAGTACAGTAACATACAACCCTAGAACCACCAAAGGAGAAGAGCATGAGCAGAATGTGGGACCCTATCCATAGAACCAGCGACACCAGAGACGGAAACAGAGATGAGAGCATGGAGAGAGAGCAGCTGAGGACTCAAGACTCATGGCAACAGAACGGCTGGGTGCTGGCAGCCAGGTGCTGGTGACAGGGGCAGGCTTGCAGAATGTGTCCTTTGATTGTTTAAATGAATATCTATTCCTCAGTGTTTTTGTGTACATCTCCCGCCACCAAAAAATAAATAGAAGGAATGGAAACAAATACTGTTGAATTGTGATGCACAGAAGAGATTGTAATCATGGCAATGAAACGATGAGTGTAAAACTGATGTTCACCCATGTAAACTAATCACTCAATTCACAATAAAAACGTAAAAAAACAAAGCCAGTGAGAATTGCGTGGATCACAAAGGAACTTTGTCCAGCTCTCTTGCTTTGGACACATCATCAGGAGCAATCTGTCACTAGAGAAGGTCATCCTGTTCGGTGACGTAGAGGGCCAACAAGGGTGTGGGAATCCCTGCTGAGGTGGATTGGCACACTAACTGGAACAATCTATTTGAATATGCTGGGATTGTGAGGATGATGCAGGACTAGACAGCAGTTTGTTCTGCGGTGTACAAGGTCACCATGAGTCCCAGTCGACTTGGCAGAAACTAACAGTACCATTATAGTCATTATGCAAGCTGGGAGGATGACCTATTACTAAAACCCAGGCCCTCTAACAATCTGTTTCTCTTCTCTCTGTGCTAAACAGATTATCTGTATTCTTGATTATCTTTAATCAGATTTTAGTTCTAACATGGGTTTCACCTAACACCGGGCATATTTCTAAGCATCCTCTCCATGCTGTTGAAATCATTGCATTTCCATCAAATGCCAACTAATTTTAATATTGACCAAAAAACAAGGTTCAAGGTTATCCAGTCTGATAGGACTTCAAAAAGTTCATGGAAAGACTGAATGAAAAGATAACGTTTCCATTAACGTTTCAAGCCCTCCCATCTATGTCAGAGTAGAGCTGTGCTCATTAGGGTTTATCAATGGAGTTGTTTCTGAAGTAGATAACCAGGCCTTTGTCCTGAGGTTCTTAGGGTGGACTCAGCTTCCTAACAATTGATGAGCAGCAAAGCACCTGAACCGCATCATCCAGAGACTCCAACTTTGTTGTTGACCCAGAAAATTAGAACGTCCAAGTAGTCAGCACAGAGTAACATGTTTGCCATAACCAAAGCAATTAATTTTTATCATGCTTGCTAATACTCCATTCAGTGACTAAAATTGACTCCATTTCCACACCTTCCTAATGTATTTTCCGCAATACAGTTTTTCAGACTTTAAATGTAAAGATTCATGACTGTTGACAAAGGTTCACACTAGTGCAATTACTACTTCAGTCAATATATAGACTATCTCTAACACCTTAGAAAATGCCTGATACAAAAAAAAACGGGGGAGTAGTTAATCTTACAGTCCAGAAACAAAGGACCCTAGGACCATCAAGGGTGAAGAGC